GGGACCGAGCTGCCGCGAGGGAGAGCAGGGATTTCAGTGCTGACCCCCCCATCCCTGTTTTGCCTTTCAGAGCAGCCCGGCGACGATGTCCGTCAGCAGCCACGAGAACCGGAAATCCCGCTCGAGCTCTGGCTCCATGAACATCCACCTCTTCCACAAGCCAGGCCATGCCGACAGCCTGCTCACCCACCTGAACCTGCTCCGCAAGCGGCACCTCTTCACCGACGTGGTGCTGCGGGCGGGGAACCAGGCCTTCCACTGCCACCGGGCCGTGCTGGCCTCCTGCAGCCGCTACTTCGACGCGATGTTCAGCGGGGGCCTGAAGGAGAGCAGAGACGCAGAAGTGAACTTCCACGACTCCCTGCACCCCGAGGTGTTGGAGCTGCTGCTGGACTATGCCTACTCAGCCCGGGTGTTGATTAACGAGGAGAATTTTTTTTGCTGGAGGCCTGAAATATGTTGCAATTCCAGGACATTCGGGATGCTTCGGCTGACTTTCTGGAGAAGAACCTCTATCCTGGCAATTGCTTGAACATGCTGCTGCTGTCCGATGCCCACTGCTGTGAAAGGCTGCTGGAGCTCTCCTGGAGAATGGCACTAGCCAACTTCACCTCCCTCTGCAAGACCGAAGACTTCCTCAGGCTGCCCAAAGACAAGCTGCTTGAGCTGGTAGAAAGCGAAGAGCTGGAGGTAGAGGACGAGACTCTGGTATATGAAGCTGTTATAGGCTGGATCCGGTATGATTTGCCCCGACGTCATGAAGATCTGCCAGAGCTGCTGCGCTCTGTCCGGCTGGCCCTTCTGCCCGAGTCCTACCTGCGGAAGCAAGTGGCCTGCGAGAAGCTGGTGCCCAGCCACAAGCTGGGGGAGGAGATTGTAGCTGATGCAGTGCGATGCAAAATGAAGATCCTGCAGAACGACGGGCTCGTGACTGGATGCTGTGCCCGGCCCCGGAAGGTCAGCCAGGCCCTGATGCTGCTTGGGGGCCAGACGTTTATGTGCGACAAGATTTATATGCTGGACCATAAAACCAGCGAGATCATTCCTCGTGCCGACATCCCAAGCCCTCGCAAAGAGTGCAGCGCCTGTGCGATCGGGTGCAAAGTGTACATCACGGGTGGCAAAGGCTCCGAGAACGGTGCCTCCAAAGACGTCTGGGTTTATGACACCCTCCACGACGAGTGGGCAAAAGCCGCTCCCATGCTGGTGGCACGGTTTGGCCACGGCTCCGCTGAACTGGACCACTGTCTCTACGTGGTCGGGGGTCACACAGCAGTGAGCGGTGCCTTCCCAGCCTCTCCCTCCGTCTCTCTCAAGCAAGTCGAACACTATGACCCGCAGCTGGACAAGTGGTCCTTGGTGGCCCCTCTCCGAGAAGGCGTAAGCAACGCTGCTGTGGTGGGAGCCAAGATGAAGCTGTTTGTTTTCGGGGGCACCAGCGCCAACCAGGAGAAGCTGCCCAAGGTGCAGTGCTTTGACCCCTGCCAGAACCGCTGGACAGTGCCCACCAGCTGTCCCCAGCCCTGGCGGTACACGGCTGCTGCTGTGGTGGGCAGCCACATCATTGTGATCGGGGGGGACACAGAGTTCTCCGCCAGCTCTGCTTACCGTTTCCACAGCGACAGCTACCAGTGGTCCAAGTTTGGGGACGTGACCGCCAAGCGCATCAGCTGCCGTGCTGTTACATCAGGCAACAGACTGTACGTGGTGGGGGGCTACTGCGGGGCTCAGCGCTGCAAAACACTGGACTGCTACGACCCATCATCTGAGACCTGGAGCAGTGTCACGACGGTACCTTATTCCCTCATCCCCACGGCCTTCGTCAGCACTTGGAAGTACCTGTCTGCCTGAGCTACGGCGTTGCAGTCAAAGTACCTGGCAGGTAAACAGTTATGTTTCAGCCCAGAGCTCTGTCCTCTGAAACTTTGTGCCTCACAAGGGTTAAACCCTGAGGGGTAGACATATGTGGATCCCAGCTGGAGTTGTCCTAGAGAACAGCACTGTGCAAACATCAGCTCCAGAAATGCACTTCCAGGCTAGTAGTTTGATATCTAAAACCCTGCAGGAGAAGTGTCTCTTTAGGTGCTCAAATGCTGTCGGGAGAAGATCGGTATAAATAACAGACCATATAACCTCACATCCTATTCCTTCCACGGAGTCTCAGCCTATGCAAAGATTTTGGGGAATGCTGTCTGTGAGTAGGATTGGGTGTCCTTGGTACAGAAAGCTCGTCAAGCCGACCAGGACATTATCATGCAGTCTGTCTGCAGGAGCTCAGAGATACTACATGGTGCCATGAGGGACCGGCTGCTGCTTTTAGCACGGCCTTCTCCTCCTGGTGCCACAGTTAATCTGCTAGTGGCACCCAAACAGCAGCCACTGTCTTGTGGGACATGAGGGCTACGAGCTGGTGCCAGGACAGAATTATAGCTGGGATTTAGTCCCAGAATGGTTTGCAATTGCATTTTTAAGACAAGCTCTGTCTACATATAAACACAGGGTTTCTCCACTTTAATTATTCCCTGGTCCCCTTCATGCCATTTCTTTTCTGCTACACAGCAATTAATTTCTTAAGCAGTTTGCAACTGGAATTAAACCTTTTTAGAGACTCTTAGCAGAAAAGATGCCAGTGAATCACACACCCCTGGGGGTTTATTCTTTTTCCCTTGTGAGAACTCTAGTACCCAAACGAATTTGTTTGATGCAATAAAATATTCTGTAATACCTATAGAAAATTCCTGGCTCAATACACAAAGTGAAGTAGAGGGAAACAAGTAGGAGTACTTCCACGATAGTAGGATTCTCTGTTATTTTTGAGGCCTGGGGAGTGTTCTTGGGTTTAAGGCACACCGTTCTCATAATACTCTCTTCTGCACTACAGGTTTCACATCTGATTTCACCTGTGTCTTGCTTCACCAAGGATCCAGACAGAAGACATGGGCAGTAAGAGTGCTCCCTTCTACCTAGCAAGCCTGTGAACTTCCAAGTCTGGATGCCAGCCCTTGCATGGATCTTATCAGCCTCAGAAGGGCTCAAGGCAACCCCAGCTTTGGCTTTGAACCGCTTTGGAATGGGGTGGAGGGAGAGCTTGGAGAGGACCCCCGCCCCCTTGGACTGGCAGCTTGTGCTGTCCCCCGAGATGGCAAGAGGTTTCCACATTTCCTCCTAACTCATGTGATCTCAGAGCAGGAGCCAGAGGAATACTTTTTAGTTCTTTCATTTAATCCTTTGCTTTGAATTATATTTACCAGAAAGAACAAAGGAAGCTCCTAAGGGGCAGCCGGCTCTGGGCTGTGCTGCTGTCTGCGTATCTGTGACTTGGAATGCAGTCAGCACCAGAGGCAGTTGTCTGAAATGTCTTAAGACTTGACAGTTACTTGCCCATGGGCTGCTTCTGTATATTTTTTTATACAGCAGTTGTGTGTGTTTATTATTCAGCCTGGAGCTGCTTCAATAAATCTGAATAAGATCTACCGTGTCCCTTGCCTGTTCTGTATGCTCAAGCTGCAAATTCTTCCAGCCCACACTTGAGAAAATGTTTAGCAGAGGTAGCGAAAAGCACTCCCTGCTGCAGAGTCCAAACCTTAATCTGCAGGAGGGAGGGGCTCAGCTCTTCCTATACCTTTGCAACAGGGCTCATGGAAAGCTCAGATCCCATATTGCCTTCCTGCTTTGAAAGACGCACAAACCTGTTTCTCACAAGCTTGTCTCTGCTCTTACCTGGTCATCCTCAGCAGGGCTGCTTTCCTCACTGTTAAAAGGAATAGACAAAAGAGCTGCTACTTCTCTCCTAAAGAGCTGTGTGCTCCAGGCCCTGCTGCAGATGATAAGATGAGCACAGCAGTGAGGAAAGAAGAGCCCTATTAAAGGGGAGGAGTTAGAAGACATAGGAACCAGCACAGTCACAAGAAACAGACGCTGAAGGTGCAATCAAATGTCTGTCCACAGAAAGCATGGTTTAGGTGTGAGCCATTATTCATTTTTGGACTGAGTTAAAGCAATGACCATCACAACCTTTCCCAGCTACTAGTAAAGGCAAGACTTGGCAAGACTGGAAGGAGGAAAACTGCCCTGTTGGTGGTGGCTGAAGCAGATAAAATGACTTCTTTTCCATCCTGTTTTCTGATGCCGCTGCCCTTTTCAGCCCCAGGCTGGGCCTCTTTTTTTCTAGTCACCCTTGCTGGGCCTCCTCTCCGTTACTTGCTGAGCCCAGCTAGAAGCTCATTCAACAGGCTGCAGGGAGAGGAGCCCCCAGCTTGCCCTGCAAACCGAACCTGGAACCCCACATGCAGCAGCTGGAGCTCCCAGCCTGATGCCACACCCGCTTAGCTGCGCCTTATGCACAAGGGCAGGCAGGCAAGTACACTCATCGACCGCGGCCAAGAGCACAGACACAGAATAGGACGGAGCTGGGACTAGAAGCCAGCAGGAAGCGTCTTCGTCCCAGTTATCGAGCAGGAAGTTGCTTCCCCTTTTGAAATCTGTGGCTAATCTTGAGGGTCGGACAAAGTCCAACTTTCCCCAGCCAGTCAGAGGAGCCGAGGTTTCACTCATGGCCATCTGAGCAGCAGCTGTTTTGTTCATGCTGCCAAGCAATAAACGCTGGCTCTCAGCCACATCCGGCTTTTGCGCCAGGGACAAAGTTGCTTCTAGCAACATCAGGCCTCTGTCTGCCTCCTGTTCCTGATGCTGGGATGTTATCTGAGCCCTGCTCACGGCATTTTCAGCAGTGGTGGGGGAGCGAGCGTCCCTTCTGCTGAAGCCTTTGCAAGGATCAGTGAATTGTTTCCTCATTGCAAGCTATTATTACAGCTAACTGCCTCTCAGGGAAAAACAGCACACCTGGGTTTAGCTGCTCTGCAATTGCTCCCCACTACTGGCAACAAAGGCAGCCAAGAGTTGCATTTTATTGCCTTCATCCTCCCCTCATCTGGCAGAAGGCCCTGTCCTGTCTCTCCAGCTCCCCCTCCCCCTAGCAGGAGCCAGCTCCCAGGGCTGTGGGAGCACTCCTAGAGAGAAAACTAGGCACCTTTTGCCTTGCATGCTTCACTTTGGTCCCAGCAGAGCACAACACAGCCCTGTTTTCCCAGTCAGACGTTTCTGTGCATTGATCCAATCACTGCCTCAGTGCTGGGGCCAGAAGTTTTAGGCTGACTGAGCTGCATAAAAATTTGGTTTAGGATGCAGTTTGGTTCCTGGGACAGAAGTCCTCCTGAATTAATACCATCCACTTGGACTCTCAACATAGCTCAAACCAAAGGATCTCCTGCTTAGGCAGGAAAACAATTCTCAGTGCTTCCACTCCCATGGAAGTACTTTTGGTTCTCCCCAGTCAGTAGATTCCCATATCCAGTGTGTGATAAGGTCTAGGTTTGATTTCTCCAATTATCCAGATAGTGACACAGCGAACTCGATACGACTCCCACATCCACACACAACTTGACTCCCTGCACTCAGCACCAGTCCAGCCTCCCATGGGCAGGGTCACGACAGAGAAGGACCGTTCCTTTGGCAGACAAACACTTCTCATCAAAGCAGCATCTACGCACACCCTGCACTGGCTGTGTCTACCTGGACCTGAGGCACAAGAGTGTTTGTAGTCAGACAGCTTCCTTTGTCCTCCCACTGTGCAGGCAAAAGTTCTCCCAGGCATCACTAGGCTCAAAGCCAAAATCCAAGCATGACATCACTTTTCCATGGGGTGCTCCTCCTCTCCTGCAAACCCCACAAAACAGACAAATACTCAGAGCATCAGACAGACCAACCCACCTACCTCCCGGCCACAAGAGACACGGCCAGCCCTGGCATTCACAGGGGGCTAGAGACAGCAGAGAAACTATCTTCAGCCCCAAGGGTTGCTCTGGCAGTTCTTAGTACACCTGGCTTAAGCTCCCATATCTGCCTGCTCCTTGCACTCTTATTCCTAAATCTGAAGGGAACTAAATTCAGCGGCAGCTGCGACCCTGCAGCCAGTTGCTGACACAGCACCATCCTTAATAGTGCAGAGATGTCTTTGAGCACTGAAGCAGGAAAACGTGCGGGAAGTAGCAGATACTACCTAGCTGCCAGGCCGTAACACTGCAGCTGCTCTGAGGTCTTCCCTGCAAAGAACACAACCGCAGCAAGACCAAGAGGAAAACTGAAAACATTACCCAGACACTGTTTCTTGGACTCCTAGCTGCATTCTGCTCAGCAGTCCCTGCCGTCAGGGTGGCACGTTCTCCCTTCTCCCTTGGGGAAGGTCAGAGCTGTTAACTGCAAAAAGCAGCACAACAATAACTGAGACATCACCTTTTCTGGCTTAGAGCAGATATGGATCATTCAAATGTCCAGTGGTTCTCCCACCATGCACCTAGCGAAGAAGTGGAGTGCACATGGCTAGGTTTCAGTGACAAGCCATGGTGGCACAAGAAAAACAAACCACCATATTATGCAGTGTGATTTTGCCCATGAATTCAGATGTTCTAGTAGGGAAAAGAGCATTATACATCTATCTGTCTGAAATCCACTGAAAGATTTGCGGTATCACATGCAGCTCCGGCATGACTTCAGGTCTGCCGCCACGTTGTGCTTCATTCAGTGAAAAGGAATCAACTTCTGCTTTGGCATGGGAAGGGCATATCTGCATTACGCTGCTCAGTGAGGATTTTTTACGCTCCTGTGTACTTGTACCTCTGCAACAAAGTAATCCCTGCCTTGTTCAAGTCTGCTGTGCATGTAACTATATCAGAGCCAGGGACCATGTCTCTCATACTCCAACACCGCCAGCTCCAAGACAGTTTGGCTTTTATCCTCTGCCAGATCCCAGGGGCCCAGAAGAAGCAAACAATGTAGTCATTACACAAGGACAGGCCCCACATCTCTTGTCTATTGAGCCTTGGGCTGGCCCCATCTCTGGGATGAGAAATTAGACCAGACTGGAGTCGCAGGGGTGACGAAAGGGAAGGGCAAAACCCAGCACGTTCCCACTGTCAAGGCACACTATGGAGCCAATATTCATTGCGCACGTTTGTCCTCGAGCATCTGGCTTGCCAATGAATCTCAGATGCATGTATGGGAACCATCCGCCATTCCTCACCCACATGAAAGAGGAAGGTTTAGCATAAAGCTGGTCATTGCCTATGGCCTCGGAATGACTCATCCAAATAGAAGGAATGTGGTTTGGGTTTCGGGTTAATTATCTGCAGATTTTAAAGGAGACAAGGCAGGGTGGAGCTGCTGGAACACTGGTGCAAGCAAGGAACAGCTATGAACACACCGCCAGCCATCCTGAAATCACACCCTCCTTGTGACAGAGAATACACATCAGAGGAGTGACAGCATTATCAATGATACCGTCAGCCAAGGTGTTCGCAGACACCGGAAGAATGTCTATGCTGCTATTGCAGCAGGAACTGAAGCATAACACAGATACACCCACACTAGTTTGAGCACCGATGGCTGCAGCAGCCCTGAGCTTCTAACAAATGCAAATTGTGCCCAAGAATTAAACTTGCCCCTATTGAGCTCTGGGCTCTTGGAACTGGACAGTTACCAGCATCAAGCTGGCAACGTGCACTGCAGGGATACCTCTTAGCCACATTACTCCCTGATCTATCTTCATCCAGGCTCTTCTACCTTTCTCAGAAACTCTTCCAATTGGTCTGAGGCACGATTAGGGCTGCAGGAAAGTTCCGTGCAACTAGAAAAAAGTTCACTGCTCTGGAAGTGCTACCTTTTAACTCCAGCTGTAGACTGTCCCTTTCAGCTGCCTCCCACGAAGTCACTTTGATTCCATTTCCTGTTGCGGAACAATATTTAGAAACAAATATGAAGAATTATTTCTCTCTTTCTAGCGACAAAAATAGGGAGATCTGAAAGTGCACAGAGGTAGTGACCTCCAGTGGCCATTGCAGCTCAGCTCCATGGAAGCTGAACAGCAAGCAGGAGCATGTAGATCTAAGACATTTTCTCTTAAAGGAAGTGCAAATAAAAACTTCTACACACACCGTTTAAAACTCCATTCTCTAAAACATCAGTCTTGCTTCCTATAAAGGACAAAGCCATACTGTAAACACTAGTGTTCCTAGAAGTAAGTTTTAATTATTTACATACACTGGAAAACTAGAAAAAACCTGTCTTTCCAATTCAGATTTCCAGCTTGTACTGCAACACAGATGCCAACAACATTTCAGTAGAATAACGTCTACGTTTCTCAGCCTCTGACTCCAATGCACAAAGAGCCTGGATCCTTCAAAGAGGCTTTGATATACATAACAGCTTATCACAGCACAAATCAATTCAGACTGCACCACCAGCATTGTCTCATCCAGAACAGGCTGAGGGTCTTCATCAACACTGGTTCCAGCACAGGATTGTGATGATAAAGATTGCACCTCGTCCTTTGAGGACGTCTATCCAAGTCCTGGTTCTCCCAGTCTTGCCCTGGTTTTGCCTCTGCTCTAATCTCCAGAACTATCTGAGGTTAGTGTTTGGGCTAGCTTGTCAGCAAACCACAAACGAGGATTTTACCAGGAAATGCAACTTGCTGACTCTGGAGCTGGGAAGCACTGCACTAACCAGAGGCTATGGGACAGTATTGAGAGTGAGGGCTGCCAAACTGACACAAGCAGTAGGCAGAAAGTTTCTATTTTTGTTATAAATGTTCCAGATGGGAACTGATACTGTCTGGGACAGAGCCAGGCATGTCTCAGACTCGTCCCATGCAAAGTACCTGTCTGCCAATGTAAGTAACTTTGTTCAGCTCACTCCTTCGCTAGTATGCTGCGTTCAGACATTTTGAAATCAGCTGATTTTTTTCTAGAGTGCTCACCTCATTGGCAAAATCTGCAATTATTAGTACTCTCCACTTAATTCATCCTATGCAGTCCTCTTCTCTGGAAAACGGTCAGTTTTGTTCATATGGCAGGTTATCTCTGTCCAGGGTAGAAAATGAGAAGCACATGAGAAATGGCTGCTCCTTTGATCTTTGGTCCAAATTGGGGGGGGGAGGGGAGAGGAAGAAAAAAAAATCTATTAAGGCAGTCAGTTTTCAATTTTTTTTTTTATTGCTAGAAGTTGGTTTCAGTCCTATTGCAGCTCTGAAATCCTTCAGTGGAGAAACATTGCAATCATTGTAAAAATCATCATTTGGTGTGCTAAGATCAAGTTTACAATTAATCAAGAATGCACAATTCAACAGAATATTAACATTTAACCATCAACTTTACAAATAAAATAAGGACTACAAAGATGTTGCTATTGAGTATCAACAGTAAAGGAATTATTTACAATGTTTACATCCTAACAAAAACCAAAACACTTCCCCAACAAAATGCTCAATTTAATCATGAACCATGATTATTTATTAAATCTTTACAGTGCAAGGTGGGCCTAGAAACCAGACCTAAGACTAAACAGCATCAAGAGAGTTCACAGCTCTGAGTGAGATGCACACAATTACACCAACAGGATTTCTTTTCATGAGAGGTTTCCTTCCAGGAACAAACAGAAATGGAATTTGAAATAAACTTTTCTAAAGTGCTCCAATTTCTTTCAGTACAAAAATATAAAACACTGATTTATAAACATGGCACAAGTGGTATTTGACGTATAACATGCCGATGGTAAATGATGAAGAGCCGTCAGTGGTTACAAAAACGTTGGGTCTGGTCTTGAAGGGGGCTGGGGGAAGGCTTTTCTTTTACTTATTCAACAAGAAGGTTATGCAAGGAGAGCAAATACGTAACCTGTCGCCAAGAAGATTTTTCTTGTACATGTGAGAACTGCTGGGGAAGACAACAAAATGCTCCAAATTCCCTCGCACGGGGGCACAACACACAGGGACACCACTGAACAGCATCAGGGGAGCCTTAGCTCCAATTCTGAAGGACTGAATGTAGAAGTTAAACTAGACTAGCCAAGGGTTGAAAATACATGTTTAGTTTTCAACTTTTATTGTAAATGCAAGTGGCAAACACCAAGTCTCATGAGTGCAGGATCATCTGACTAGCACGCAGAAAGACAAAACCGCCAGCAAGTTATTTAGAATTACTCCTACCTTTGCAGGAAGGCTATTGCCTTGGTGAGCAAGCATCTCTAGAAATACCAATTCTTCTGCCTCACACTGGGAAATAATTAGCAATTTCAATTTGTGGAACATGCCACAACTACAATCCACAGACAGCACATTTAAAAACTAGGAGAGCATTTACAATGCACAGAGGGCAGATGTGCTTAGTACTAGTGAATATGGAGGGATCTTCAATTTGAAATACAAGATGACCATAGTCTGAATGGGAAGGAATAGAGGAAGCATCCTTTACACCAGAGTTTAAAATTGAAGATCAAGACCATAGCCTCTACACTTCAGCATCACAATATTAAATATGATCATAATTTTAAGGCTGTCACACAAAGCAAAGAAAAAGACAGTTCAAAGCTTGCGCTCTAATTTCCTCCACACTCCAGCTCAGGAAAAAAGCCAAAAAGCACTTGGGAGGCACAGAATTTTGAACTGTCTAATCCTTCGACATCACTTTTATTTTAAGTGAATAAAAAGTCAAATGGAAAGGATATTACTGAGAATCAAAAGCAGGTCACTTAGCCCAGGACACAGCAGTATTTTGTAATCTAATCTGCTTCAAAAAATAATTTTGCTTCAAATGAGAGTTAAGAATTCAAAACTAGCTCACTCAGCTGGAGTGATCTAATGACAATTTGACAGATTTGACTTTGCAAAAGTGAAGAGATGACACATTTTTCACTTAAACAGTCTTTCACTTGCTTTCCTCCACCTCCTACAAATATTTTTACCACACTCTGGCCTGTCATTGCACTAATAACGAGATATCACAGCAGCTGCTAATTTTAAAGCCTCTCCCAAGCCAGGTACTGTACAGGAAATCACATCAATACCTAGTATGGCACATAACGATTTTGACCCAAGGGACTCTAAGTGAATGAAGATCCAGTCTCTATTCAAGGTGAGAACAGTTGTCCTAGCACCAGCTCCAGCTAGACATATGTACTGAGGACAGATGATCGTTCATAAGGTAATTTCTCAGTTACAGAAGGAAGATCAGTATTCCAAGGAGGTTTTGTGATGCTGAACCAACAGCCTAGCCTGAAAGCATCCTGCATCCATTTGCTAACAGTCATAAGAAACATATTTGAAGCACTGCTGACCACGAGGGCTAAAACAGTTACATTTAAGTTCAAACATACTAAAAGAAATGAGACCTCACTGCAGACATAATATTTTCCAGATGTCACTGTTCTGTATCTGACTTTGTTCACTGCACAGAGGAAGGAGAAAAAAGTAGCCAAATAAACCTCCTCAGTCCATACAAGTCTTTCTCCCATACTTCAAGACAAACACAAAATTAAACCAAAGAAACGTTTCTAAAAATTGTTTTAAATCCTCCAAACAGCAAATGGAGACCTCTCTTCTTGGCTGAGGCTCAGGACATGAGTTCGTTCCACTCATTCAAATTAACTTCAAGCTATAACTCCTAAAGACCTGGTAACCGAAGGAAACAGGGACATAGCATTTTCAGTAGGAGCGGCCCAAACCACAGCATAAAGGCAAGAACATATCGCGCATTCTTGCTGCTTCACTGTATGTTTATGGAAGAAAATACATGGGTATCAGAGATGACTGGAGCCTCCACATCAGCAGACTGAAAATTCATTCCTTAAAGCTGTTGGACCTCACATGCTGGCTTGATCAGAACTGTTTATTTTAAGAATTCCCTTCCATTTCAACCTAGCATTTAAGAATACAAAAATGAATACAACGTAGAACTATGTTCTAACCATCATCAACATCGTATCACAACAATACAAAAATCACTATGTTCTCAATAGTGACCATACAGTGTTCTGCAAATCTAACCATTGATAATCTGCACCAGTTCTGCAAGACTGATGATAATACCAAAGTATTGCTTGGTAAATAGTGAAGTGTGTCCTACTTAATAGTAATAATTGTTCTGGTAACAAGGCAGATGGTTTGGAGTCTCCTCTCATTCATAACGTTGCTACTCTATTGAATATCAGTTCACAAAGAAATGACCATTAAATCCCAAGAAGCACTACAGAAGGAGTGCTTGTTCCATAAGAGAGAATCAGTATTTCATAGCTTATCTTTTTCCTCTTACACCAATCGGTACATCTGGATTTTTCAATTTCTTGTCTGGAGGCAACAACCCAAATCATCACCGCCTGGAAACAAACTTCGTATTTTCTGCTGAAAATTTATAATGTTTCTTGCACTGCAACTACTGAGCTAATTTTAAAACCTTCAACCAAAGTGAAGTTACTGTCTACAAGAACATTACTAATGTCACATAGGCCCTAACCACTGAGATAGAGTCAATGATTTGAAAAGAACCTGCTAGATGGCCATTCAGTGCCCTTACCATACAACAGAATGGAGAGCTGATTAGGCATTCCACCCACCTGTGCTAAAACCATTTTAAATTAGGCTTAAAGATATGATAAAACTATTATCACTCATATTCTGAAAGATATCAACCCAAATTTTTAAGCTCCGAGATACTGATTTCTCTAATTCTGCAACAATCCCCTCTAAACAACCTCTTCTGTGCCCAATATATCTGACTGGCCACCTTCAACATGTATTCGAATACAGGTCCTTAGCTGAAGTGTATAATAAAAACTGAGATACAGAATGAAATAACACACACCAGATGACTGTGCAAATTACTACAAAGGGGCAAAATGCCTTTTGAACAGAACTATGTTAATACCATCACCATTTCATGATTAAGAACTGACCCATTTAATAAGAGGCGCCCAAGCTGGTTTAGCTTTAAGTAGCTAAATCAATGGAGGTTTAGCTAGTTTTTTTTTTTTTCATTTTTTTTAAAGAAACAGTTCTATTCCCTTCATTCCTAACACAGTGTTGCAGAAAAGTCTCTGCAGTAACAGCAGCTTTGTTATCTTCTGATACTTGGAGTAACGTCCCATCAAGCTAGCAGACAAACAACAGATGCAGAAAACGTAGGATTAAGCAAGACAATAAATTACTGCATTCAAACGCTTCTTATGTCTTCAGCAAGGAACAAAATGCAAGTCTCTAAATTCATTCTGAGCCAACATCAGTTTTGCCTGGGAATCTGCACTGCTCTCGCTAACACAGAGAACTACCCAGTATGTATCTAAGGACACAGTTATCCCCTAGTGCAAGTTGATGGCCAAAGAAATGTGCATTTAGTCCAGCTCTCCATCACCGTTGTATATTTTCACATGTCCAACCCTTCAGGTCTACAAGCAGGTGGAGCTTCTGACCCTTGAAGACTCTTAAGAAGCTTACCTTCTTTCTTCTACTGTACCTGGCCATGGAACCTGTGTTCCATTGAATCACTAAAAGAACAGAGATGCCAGTCTGGCTCCTGTAAGGGGGGTATCACAATGTCAGCCGTGAGTGGCTGTAAGGAGACTGGCTTGCTAGTTAACTAGTTATTGAAATATAGTTAGCATAATCCATTACACTGACCACGTATCTGTAATAACAGATTTAAAAATTCTCAGCCATTCAGGGGCCTACTACTGAAATTTTGACATAAAAAAATCTAGGAGGTTCAACACCAATTAAAACAGTTTACTTCACAAGATGGTGCCCACAAAGAGTGTAGATTCACCAAAGAGAGCAAATTACAGCAAATAGCAGCATTTTAATATGCTTTGAATTTATATACCCTTGCCATGTGTCACCACACTTCCATGTTTGGAAAAATTAAAAGCAAATTACTACTACTGTGTTCTCATTTTGAGCTGCTGGCAGAGAAGCCAACAAAGTAAAACAGTAATCCTGGTCTGGTCTTTGCTAGTATTAATGGAGCAGGGATGAAAAGACATCCACTTCAGGTCTCTGTCACGTTGAACATTTGGGCCCGAGTTCGTGAAACAGTATGTCAAAAGACTAATCTTTAAATGAAAATGATTAGAAAAAAATTACATCTTCTTTGCTGGTATCATCTTGCACATTTAACAGAGTCGGCTGAGAGGCCACCAGGGTCTGGACGGGAACGTTATTGGGCCTGAATAAGTTTGCTGAGGCAGATGAAAGTGCTTCTGGCTGAGCATCAGTAGGGCCATACAGTTCTACAAAAGAAAAGAAAGCAGAAAGATTCATGACGTGGCATAGAAAGTCTGATGCATCTCCACAGATGTACAAGTTGGTCAAGACATACCTGGCTGGAATGCAGTGGTCTGGCTGCTTTGGAGGACTGGACTTGCTGATCGCCTGCCTCTCAAGACACCCTCCTCTCGTCCAACAAGCTTGGGGGGAATCAGCTGTTTCTGATCAACAGATGCTGAAGAAAATATTTTACAAATTAGTATTTCATCCTGGCAGTACTTCATAGATTTCATTGTTTCATGCTGGGGCCCATTGTACATATCCAAGGAAGCTGCTGTTCCACAAAAAGCTGGTGCTCCTGTTGCAAAGTTACTTAAATTTCTCTTCAGTTGCTTACAATACAAGTACTTTCCCTCTCCTCTTCCCTTAGGATTTCTATTTCAGTTAACAGTAGCCCTGACAACCACAGATTTAAAATAGAGCATTAGAGAGCACAGTGCAGAAAAGTATCTTTGTCCCTAACATTCAAGTGACAATGACTATTTTCTACTTTTAAAGTCAAGAACTGTGATGAACTTTTATCTCTGATCTCCATCTGTCTCGCAGCTGCTCAGCAGCAGAGTACATTGACTCTGGTGTTAATGGCCTGTCAGTTGCTTAATTTCAACAATAAAAGCAATTCATGAACACAGTTGATCCAGAGAACTCCTCTTCTGCCAGTACACATTTCTTACATATCACACAAACCAAATTCAATACACAGTATTTTGCCTCTGGTACAGAAAGTCTTGTTCCGTTTTATTCTGTGATCTACATATGGGCCTAACAAGCATACACCCACTAATGCTCATGAGAGAATAGAGACCGATATATCTGAGTTTTATACCTTTCATTAAAAATTCCAGAAAATCACCGTTAAGTACATTTCCACTGCAAAGATCATTACGTAAGAGTTATTAAAAAATGAAGCTGGGGAGATGTGGTATTAGAGCTTTATTCTCCCATTTACCAGCATTTGGCATTCAGGGGAAGAGGATATCAGGCTTTATTTACGTGCAAAAATATAAGCAAGTTTGTAATTGCATTAAACTTCAGGCAGAACAGAGAGAGACATTTCTATAACATGCAAAAGCCCTCCCCCGCAATAGACAGGTTTGGCCCCGAGTCCACTACAGTAGCGTAGGCCTAGGTGACATGTAAACTTGCCAGGTCTGAATCCTATATAAAGCTAAAAAGATAATTTTGTAACTTAAAACTGAAGGGTATTCTCCTAAGCTAGAAGTAAGGCTCTTTTAAGTGGTAGGAAAAAAAAAAAAGTGGTTTTTCCTGGGTCTGTCATTGACAGAGATCACTACTTCAGTGCCCAGCAGTTAGCAACAACAAATTACGCTATAACAGGGTGACTGCATTTTTACTTGTTTCTATTTCTGACAAAATCAGCCCCTTTGAGCTCTGCAACACGCACAGCATCTGAATTCTGGCCTGTAAATCTGTATTTAATGACTGACTGGTGCTAAGAAAGGCATCAAATTCGATGTCATTACAACTCTGGACAGTCAGGGAAAAAAGGTTAAGCCAGCATCAAAACGTTCCACACATGCAGAACAAGCAAAGCATTTGCTATTTTCCATTACCACTACTATGGCGGCATATCAGGCAAGAAGATTTTACATCCAGGCTTACAAGTTCTCACCACAATTCTGTCCTGTTAGGTTAAGACATTCCATTTTTAGCATTACCCATTTGGGCTACATTTCCAATTCGAGCAGTATACACACTTGTAACTTTTAACTCAATAATTTTTATGGCCTATCCACCACAGTAAGCATACCAGCAATTTGTAGCATATTAATTTCCGGCCTCCACCGGGGTAGCCAGAGGTTTAAACTATTGCATTCTGTCTTCCTGTGATGCTGGCAGAGCTCAAAAATGCATTTAAATACACTCACCTGAACTGTCTGTCCTATGAGATGCTTTGTTCTTCCCACCTTTCTCTTTACTTCCTTTTGTAAAAGTGGCAAGCTTAGTAGGAATCTGCTGCTGAACTGCAGCTGGTTTTTGTATTTGATTAGTTGCACTCAGGAGATGTATTGGCACTTCATTTTTCAGTGCAAGAACTGGACGATTCTCCATGGTGGTACTGTCCCTACGAACCAGCTCTGTCCGTTCCAAGTAATCCATCCCAGAGACGCTCACTCTCCCAGAGGTTTTCAAGACTGGCAGAGATGGTTCTATCCCTTCTCCATTGAAGCTAATGGAATGGCTCAGCATCTGATTCTAAATGAGAAAAAAAGGCATTCAAAGTAAAACTAGTATTTTCATACTCTAGTATATAATGAGGAGAGACCACCCTCAGTGCTGTACTTTTTCTGTCATAAATGCAACAGAATAAACCAAGCCCAATGCACACAACAGAAAAAAGAGCCAGAGGAACTCAGACTATGCAAGTCCTTGAAAACTGGAAAGGACCTTAGCAACTCCAGACTGCTTAATGTCATACCTAGCACAGGAACTAAAAAAGCAGATTGCACTAGGTGGTGATAAAACGGAGAGAGAGCTGAACTTTCAGCCAGTTAAAAATGAGCCATTTTAATCAGACCTCAAAATGCACACTCTGAAACAGAGGAGATGCTTTTAGAAATCAACTGTACCAAATGCTACCAACATACCACACCTTTTGCAATCATCTGCCTGCAGTAGGGCAGTTCCTGTACTTAAAAAAATCCTCAGTCAGCCAGGTCCCAAAATAACCTTTTATCTGTTTCTACTTTTTTTTTTTTTTTTTTAATATATTCTCATTATCAAAAGTCTGGGTTGAATTTAGTAGACACCTGACGAATTGCCAAGCTCTAATGTCTCTCACTGCTGCTGTCAGCTATTTTAGATGAAGGTACATGGACTCCCCTAAGAAGCAAACAAGGATAGTCTTTTCCCAGAGAGTTACATCGTTGAGACAAAGTCAGGGCTGCAAACAAGGGCAACCTTCGTTCAGAAGCAAGCAGGTATCAGTTAGAAATCAAACTCCAAGAATACCGGTTCCTTACCTGTCCCATTTCCGGGGAACACGTGCCTGAGACTGTGTTCTGTTTCTTCAGCTTCCTTAGCTGATCTAGGCGCTCTCTCTCTTTCTCAACTGCTCTTTGAGCTTCCCGCAGCCTCTCTAGGTCATGCTGATAGGCCTCTCGCTGCCTCTCTAGCTCTTCCTTCTCCTGACTCAACCTATCTTTTAGCTGCCGAATCTCCTCTTCGCGCTCCTGCAGCCGGGCTTCTGTGCTTTCAAATTCCCTTTGCTGCCGACTTCTTTCCCGTTCCCAGCGCTGCTGCTCCAGCTTCAGCTGGCTCTGAAGTTTCTGTACATTCATCAGTTCTTCTCTCTGTTTTTCAAAGTTACGCTGCTTCTCCTGCTCTAGCAGCAGGTTGCCTCGTGTAGACTGCAGCCGGTATTGCTTCTCCCGGTCTACCATGGTAGCTCGTTGCATCTCAATATAGCTGTCCTGCTGAGATATCACTGCCTGGAGGGGAAATATAAGTCCACCATAAGGCCCACGGGCTCAAAAGTCACGTACAGCAAAACAAAAGACAGGAGCATCTACCAGAGTTGATCGCCAAGACCTTTTTCTTCAAGAGCAGGTCTAACTTCCCATCTTGTACATACCATCACAATTGGCAAGATACTACAGATGGCCAAGCAAAATGTTATTTTCACATATGCCAAAATTAACATCTCTTGCACATAGAACTATGAATTTGACAAGACCACTTAAAATATTACTTATTACAAAGCTACAGTAAATACATGCGTACGAGCATATATCAACAATAACAATTTTATTAGGAGATGTATCCCAGTAGCAGGGAGATTAGACGGAGCTCCAAGCAGCAAGAGAATTACATTACACTACATGAGCAGGAAAAAGGATTCAACTATTTAAGACAGTTCTTTCAAAAACTGGACACAGTGTTTCCTTGAGACTCAAGTCTTAAATTCTGCAGTTTACTCTAGCTTGTTTAGGGAATATCTCCAAGGTACTTCTTTCATACCTGCCTAAAATTCATTAAACCTAACGTCTAACATTTCTTAGATAGTACGTAGTGGTTTACCTGTAGACTGAAGAGCAACTGTAACAGCGTTTGTATCCTTCGGACAAGCTGAGGAGGGGAGGAAAGAAGACATTAGGCACTGTGGAAGAGAGCTCTGTTTTGATGCAGCATTAAGGCTTTTTTTTTTTTTTTTAAATAACAAACATAATCAACGCTATCTGTACAGAAACATACACAATGGAAGCATGGCAACAAGAGTATTCTAACATGGTAATAACCAATATAGTAGAATGCAGGCACAATCAATTTGAGTATATTAGCCTTTGTACAAACAGGTCCTCCAAATCTCACTGGGATTCCAGGGAGGAATCTTCACCATCAGTCTTCTTCACATGAGCAATTTAATGACCACTTCCTCCTGTGCTCCAGCACTGACTCACTACATAGGTGCAAGCACTCATGGGAGGTTCAGAGGCAAACTTTGTCAGCGAGTGGAGAACATATAATCCTTCCAAAGACGCAGGAAGAGCAGTAAACTAGCTCTTTGAAACACTGTCTGCCTACATACCCAGAATCCATCTTTGCTTTCTAATGGGGCTTTTATCTCTGCATTCATAATACATTAGGAGTGGTAAGGTACGGTTTGTTAATGAGCATGTGGTTCTGCAGACATTAAAAACATTGTTTTCTTTTGCATGCTATTTTTATTATGATAGCTAATTCCCTTTACGTTTCCTAACAGCAGAAATTACATACCTCAGACTCTATGGTGGGCTGCAAACCACTGCTGTCATCCAGCCTTGTTGCATCACTCTGGAAAAAGACAAAAACAACATGGGTCCTAGAGCACACACGTTGGGCAGTGGTAGTGCTGCCAGAACACTTTGGAAGGGCTCATCTAATTAAGGGAACAGTGTTTACAGCTGGAGCACAGATTGCTCCCCTCAACTGAAGGAGGCATATCAAAAGTACTTAAGCTGGAGGCCAGGCTGAAATAAACGCATGATCGTTAAAGCTAGAATTAAAGATACAGCATCAAATGAACAAGTATAAAACCAAATTATCATGCCTCCCAAGGGCTAAGCTACACACAATCAACTCGCCTCCCACAAATAGCCTTAATAGAGTCAAGTAGTTTCACAGAACACTGTTACAGTCCAGCCCTATCAGCTATTAGGACTTTTGGCTTTCAGAAGTTACTATTACAACAAGGGCCATCAGGAAATACATTCAAGTTATACATAAGCCCAACATACGGTTTGAGATCCTTCTTCTGCATCAAAAGGGAGGTCATGGAGCTGCACATCTGAACTTACTGCAGGGCCCCTCCAGTCCCACTGTCTCTGGTCACCACCGCTGTTCTTCCTAAAACTACCATCTGAAACAAGAGGGCAGTGTGAGTGGTCCACACCAGCACAGAGCCTGTGAAAACTCACTACATAACACAGCAAACAGAAAAAAAAAAAGTGATTTTGAAGTTAGAACCAGACTGCAACTGCATGGCTTATCTGTGCTGATTAAAAGAAGCAGAAAAGTAGACAACAGGAATTGTGGCAATTAGAAAGTATGGATTAAGGTAATAATGCCCTTAGCAAACACCAGCTAAGAGCCCTACTCTGTTTTCTAGCGTTAGTACTGGAAGCATAAGATACCATGTGGTATCAGCATGTTGCATCAGCATGGGATTTTGGGAATTTGCTCTTACTCTTTTCCCAGAGCTCTGTCCAGTCCAGATGAGCCTGGTGAAACTTCCTTATATCTGCTTATATCAGAACCTCTTTATTCATTGCTCTTATCTCACCTTCAGTACACAGATACATACTAAGGAGCTTACAAGAATGCTGGCTATTTCTCTTTAACAGTGCATCTAAAAATCTGCACTTGGGCCCCATAGCCTCTATTTCTTACTCTTATTTGAAATTGAAGGGCTGCTATCATATCCTCCAAAGGTCTCTGCTCTCCTGGGGAGTCCTGACCCAAAGCTATCTTCAGGCTGACAGGATCCATTGCCCAAGTGAGTGAAGATAAGGTTTTGGAGATTTTCAGCTATAGGGAAGAGGAGAACGTGTCATTTTAAACAGCGAGACAACGGCATCATGCTAACAAGTCACAAAAAAATACTTCAGTTATCATGTACTTTAAAAGATTATGCACTTTGAGACCTTTCATACAGTACAGATGGATTTTCCTTTATGATAAACTCCCTATAATAGGCTCTTCATATTGCATATATGAAGACAATCTCTTCCTTGAACATAGGGTTAGGTTATTAGGACTTGAAGGGGTTTTTGTCAAACTCAAAGTGATGTCTGTGCTTATTCTCTTCCTAAACATGCTATCCCTAGAGAGGCTATCTTAATCTAGAACCCCCCAATCTAAATAAACAAGCAAATAAATAATCCAACCTGTAGATAATGTCCTCTAACTAAACACTCAGGTGCACTTTACCTATCTGGAAGGTTGGTTCTGAGAACAAGGAATCTGAACAGCATTAAGTCTACGTTATTACAAGATTTTCAGGAACAACAAGCTGTACTTAGATCCTGTGGGCTTATCCACCCTTGTGTCTGTTTAAACACATACACGTTCCCACATTGCGTTTACCTTCTGTCACTGCAGACTTCAAAATCACCTCTCCTTGCAGATTCTCTGAGATATCCCCCCGAAGAAGTAGTCTAGATCGGGCTCCTTGGGAATGGTCTTCAAACCCATTCATTTCAGACATTTCTAGATAAATCTGTTGCTTCTCAGTCAGACTTTGCACAATCAGGTCATCTTTCATGTTCAAACGCTCTAAAGGAAGAAACAAACTCAGTTCGGTCTTCCAAATCACTGTCAGAGTACAATGCTCAATTCAGAAGATTATTATTCATTTTATATTCAGATCATCAACCACCCGGATATAATTAACAGCTTTTAAAAAAGCAGAAAAACCACAGAGCGTACAAAGCTTTGCTTCTTGTTCAGCAACAAGATTGGGAAGTCTTTATCTAACTTTATTAGACTTATTGAACTATTTCTAGGCAATCTTGCAATATCCTGAAAGACTTACAAAGGAGAAACTCGATCATATCGTATGATAAAAGAACAAGATGGTCATAAATCACAAGCGATGCTGAAAAGCTGTTTGTGGAAAATATAACTAAGCCATTACCTTGAAAATCTTTTAACTTAGCAGCTCTTGCTTCAGCCAGTCTCCTTTCTGCTTCAGGTTCATTAAACATTCCTCCTTCTTCATAAGGACAGCTGTAAAAAGGGGGAGTCAAAAAAATGCTCGACTTGCACATTTGATAACTTACAGCCACCTGAGGATTCAACCTAAGGCTTTGCCTAGGATGTGCATTATCTTCTGTTAATCTTCCTCCCTTATCCAAAGCCCTGTTGCATTAGACATCAGGGAACTAACTTTTTTATTTATTTGTTTTTTAAAAAAGCATGACAAAGTCTTGGAATGTTTTTTCTTGCACCTTTTATGCACAGTTTCTTCACAATAAGCATACACGGAAGCACACGCTTCACTCTTACAAAAAAGAGTTTAGGGATAGTTCAATGTATTTTTAGCGAAGGTTATTCCTATGAGTCCCGCTGAAGAGGAGGCAGATGAGCAAGAAATCAAGCCCTCCGGCTGATAATTTACCTTTCTACAGCTCTGCGAATGTGAGCCATCCAGGAATTCCTCTCTTCTTTTGAGCTTGTATGAATTTCATACATTTCTGGTCCTTTTAAGGAAGCACTAATTAAGAACATTGCTTTTTCCTCATTAGCTACCTCTCTTACAATCAACTTTTGCAATGAGATAACTGGTGGTTTAGAGTCCTACAAAACAAAATATAGTTTATCGCACCATATTACATACATTCCTTAGGGTTTGTGCTTCTTAGCCCCAGTGTGTACAGGGCCACATTGTAACATTATTATTTTACTACTATGGCCTTTTCCACACGATATTTCTGACATCTATCATTTTTTACTCATCAACAATAGGTCAAAACACTGAATAAAGAACATACGTTCCAAAAATAAGACGTCTTGGTACCTGGTTGAGTATTACAGCATGCATTGATTTAACCACCTGAACATTCCCACCAGGTGCCAGAAGTCAGGCAAAGGGAAGTCAGGCAAAAGCAAGTCAAGACAAAGGAAAGAAGCAGCAATTTCACATCAATGGCAGTTAGCCATTATGATTTGTGAAAGTATCCCCATTCTGTGCATTAGAATATGGTCAATTTAAAAAATCATTGCTTTTATAACCCTGAAGTCACCAAAATAACTTTCGCCATTAGAATTCAGCTCTAATGTTAATGTCTTGAAAAAAAATATATAGCCAAAAAACCAATTACATAAAATAGTTTCTTTGTTCTTGGTTCCATTACAGTCATAACTGAACTAGATCAGTACAAAATGTACGCAATTAACTGCTCTGAGGATACCTGTGGAAATGCCCTAGAAAAACAGGCAAATCTACTGAGCATTCCAAAGTGCTGCAGTAATTACTTTTGGTGCTCATTACATTGGCTTCAGGAAAATTCTCAACCTCCACTAAGTCATAGGTTACTACGGTCATGGCTTACCATTTCCCTCACTGAAGTGGAAGATTCTTTCCCTTCATATTAACATACAGAAGACCACCTTATTTGCAAGTGATTTTCAAACTAGAGTTCTCACATGTTTAAGATATACTACCTGTATAAAATAGCAGCATAACAGAGCTTGGTGAAAGGGAAAGTCACAGCATAAGAAAAGGAGGAAGTAGTGAACCCAAAGACATGCTCAAGGCATCAGAAAAACCACAGGAGATGCCAAAGTTGGAGCAAACTGATGCAAAGAAACTCTGTTTGTACCAAGAGACAGCAGGAGCACCAGGACTGCTTCAGAAGAAGTGACTGTACGATAGCTAACTTGTTTATTAACTTCACTTTTCTTCTGAACCAGCCATAACAGGTATCTAACATTTCTATCTGTATTTCTTCTGTGGTTACTGTCACTTTCATAAATACGGTAAGTGAATGTATTAACTAAGGAGAATAATACCTACCACTGATGCAAATACATATTTTTGGTCCTTTTCTTGCAATAGCAAAAGTACATCAGTTAACAGGACTGCTAGAATATCTATGGTAAAAATAGAAAGAAAAAAAAAATTATTTTAAAGCAAAAAGACTGATGCAGACTCAAAATCACCTGACTTAAATTTCCTGTGGAACAGGAACACAGGAGACATGGACACGTCAACAGCTGCAATATTGGGTCTCCTACTGCATTCCGCTTGGGATCCCCACAGCCTGTACATGTGCAGAACCAGCAGAACACAAACAGCCCATTTAGAACTCGAAAACACCCACTTAAGCATTCTACCCATGGACTCAAACACTCATGAGGGAACACGTCTACCTCAACAGAGGATTCTTCTGGAACTGCAGATGTTCACAGTACCAGCTACTCTTAGCTGCATTATATGAGCCAATGAAGCTTCTCCTCGAACATTTGAGCAATGAAGCCGTCAAAATATTCACTGGTGGATGCAGCTTTGATTTTCTGGCAAAACAGGCATGATGCAGAACGAAGGTGTCATGGGGTTGACATGACACAATTTTTCAAAGTGTGAACCAGAGCTCGCACAAGATAATGTTTTCCACAGGAGATTAAGTCAGTATGACTCAAAGCTTTGTCATCTATCTAAAGACCTCCCACTTGAATTGGAAAGCAGATCAGACAGATAATAAGCAAACAGCAAAAGAAACTTATCATGCACTGTTACAGAGATGCTTATTGGACAAGCCAAGAATAGAACAAGTGCTATTTCCTCCAACATCCTATTAAACAAGCAGGTTATTGTCATCCTACTTTATACTCGATCGATTGGTAATAAACAGTTACTAAACAAAGAGAAATCTTCTTTCCTAGTTGTACTTTTCCCCTTCCTAGTCCTTTACCTTTGAGTCGGCCTGATGCAGCTTTCCAGTACAGCATCCCATCCAGCAGAAGACGCCTCTGCCCCATGTCGTCCTTCCGGAAGAAGAGCCCATTCTTGCATTTCCCAGATGATTTTAGCTCCATTTTATGCATAATCTCTTTAAGGCGCTGCCCCTTCTCACACTCATTTACCATGGCATCCACATGAGTGATTGTGTCCTTAATTAAACTGAGTGCCTGAGTCAGCTCTTCATAATCTTTAGTTCCAGCTACAAAGACGGAAGAGTAGCAATTAGTCAGATTTTGAACCCTGGAATGCAAAATGAGCCATCCAAATGTATTTTAACACGAAAAGTTTCATACTCGACATCTAACAATAATTTCTAAGAGTGTAAGGATAAGTAAATAACAAAAAAAAAAAAAAAAGACTCTTAACACACTAAATCCCCAATGAACTGACAGGCTTAATTCCTATGATTTCATGGTGGTAGACTTGAAACTGAACACTGCTGTTGACCCTCTGATAGGGTGTGACTGATCTGGATCCACACTGAGAACCACATCTTCAGCTAATAAAGAAGTGAGGAAGCAGTCATAAGGCAGTACCAGCCTGTTCTCCTTGTTTGAGGAGAGAGCATGCAAAACAGGAGAAAAAGGATCAGAAAACTGTCAGGCATCTAGGAAATATTAAACAAACTACCTTCAGTATTCTGAATAATACGTTCCACCAACACTGGATATTTGGTGATGCGCTGTGTAACTAGAAGGATACACTCCTGAACACCAAGTCTCCTCACAATGGAACAGTTGCCTATTTTCTAGAAAACAAAAGATAGAAATCAGATTCACAGGCTCTATATATGTTGCTCTTCCAACTCCTTCCCCTCTCCATTCGCACATTTTCTGTCTCAAAACATTTTTGTACAACTAGGCATAGCACCACAAAATTAGCTACATTCTTTTACTACAGAAAAACTCGTGATAGTAATGAAAAAAAGGTAATTTATTACTTTTTGCTTTTATTACTAGAAAAATATTTTAAATATTATTTCCATCTACTGTTAATTAAATCTGGAGCAAAGCAGAGAAAGTTGCAAGTCTGAACAGCTGGACTGCCTATTTGCTAACTATTTTTTTCAAATATATCTTTAATAATAGGATCAGTTCTTAAATACTTAAAAAGTACTATTTTTTTTAAATTAGATCCAACCACCTAACAGCCAAATTATGTCAATAACAAATAAAATGAGTATTTATTTCACCACTTCACGTTCACCACTATGTTGATCTATAGAAGTACATTTCTGTTTAGAAAGAGAAGATTGTAAAGCATCAGAATCTCAACAGCTGGTCTGACTTCAGGAACAACACAATCCTGGCAACAGAATACATTACCAAGCTCTTTCTTGTCAGGGACTGAGGCTATATATTTTAAAATTCACTCTGTTCACTTATTTGGTTCCTTGAAAGTAGAGCGTTTTCACTTTTAAAGACACCTAGCTAAGAAGAGCTGTAACTACAGATCCATGTTGGAAAGTTCACACAGTGTCACTTACTAATGACTGGAAAAAGAGAATACTTTGGACTGTGCAATGCCATCTAAGATTCAGGTTACATGCCTTCTGTTGGGCTGTGCTTCCCCAGCCCTTCCTATTAACTGGACATTACAGTGTAGAACAGATGAGCAGAATGCCCTAGAGCCAATCACCTGGCTTTGAAAAGATGACTTAGTGGACAGAACTGGAGTAATAATACCTACCTTTTCTATAGCATTTTATCAACAGCATTAATCACTGATTTGATTTATCAAACCAATTTATAAAGGCAGTCACCCATTAGGGCAGTCAGAGACAGAGCCACGAATACAAGAAATGTCCTAATCCCAGTCATATGCACTCTCAAAAGAAAATATCTGCCCGCCTTAAATTTAACACCTGCTAATGGTGGCTTTGTGTCCAACAGCTCAAGGGATATAAAATGTGGAAAGCTAACAGACCACTGAACAACATAATCATGCTTCTTTAACTCTGTTCATTCAAACGTAAGAGATCTTCAAGCACTAAATACAACCCAAAAGTAGTCATGTATACATTGCTCAGTCAGAATGAAAGGTTTCTAAATGCCATTTACCTTTATTAAGTTTTGGAACTTCTTATTGCTTTGGAGAAGGTCTTTATAGTGACTAACAGCTTCATTGTGACCACAACAGAATACACCATATTTGTCTTTCATTCTCTCCCCATTTTCACCTGAAAACTAATTGGAAATAAAAGGATGAAAAACATGAATCATTAACAATATACCTATGTACTACAAGACCTGGTTAATGAGGTTTTATGGTAACTGACTTCTGAGACAACGTTTCTTTCACGTTTCAACTTCCTCTTTATTGGAGATGAGAGAATCATGCAGTGTGCCATCAGAGAGCTTGGAATAACATAACACAACCAATATTAACGGACTGCTGTCATAATGAGAATTTTTAGAAGGACTTCTGGGCCTGTGCACTTCCAAAGACTGAGGGCTGTAAAAGGTGAGGGGCAAAAAATCGTCATGATATATGGAAAAAAATTGTTTTGCATCCACTCCAGACCAAAAAGGGTATTAACATTAAAAGAAGCAGTGATCAGTTGGAAGTATCTTTATTATCTTTTTAAAGGGCCAAAATCAAGACGGTCAGCATTAAATGCAGAAGAACTGTGATCAGGAAGGACACCTGCAATACGTTACGTTACTTTTGGAAAAGATGAGAAATAAAAACGAATCATTTGCAGTAGCATACCACACCACACACATGCATGTGCACCCAAAGGAAAAACATTTAATGAACATTCCACGCTATTTGTGACCAGATGTATTCCTGGGAGCCATGATCGCGATCGCACACTATAGTGGGAAGATGACCTTAATCCTAGCGCTAAAATGAAGGCTCTATTATATTCAAGCTTTACAGAACAAAAAGCTAAATGCAAGATTAAAGTTAGGAATTTAATAGTGTCAGTTGATGTTGGTAGAACTTAATTCACACCTGCTTTACCAAGATGTCCCCAATGTTCTGGATAATATAATTTCGGTCACTGCCTTCTTCCAAGGACTCCCTTCGTCGCTCTTTTAATTGGAGCAGGAATTGCCCGTGCATCTCCAGCAACTCATCCACACAGGGGAAAAGTTTGTTGATGACTGCATTTGGGAACTGTAGTTCCTCTCTCATGGCTTTGGAGTATACCTTCAGCATAATTTTCAGTGTTCTGACATGATGCATTTCAGTCTGCATTAGTTCTGGGCAAGAGGAAATAAAAAAAATCACGAGTCATTTATATACTGTGCAGTGACTAGTAAAGATATCACAGAGCAGACTCCGAAAGGCAACATCTTTTGCAAGTGACCAGTAAACCCATCATCAGAATAACAACAGCTAGATAGACCATCCTGGATCTATACAACATGCCTACTATTTACCTCTTACCAGTATAAATCACTAACAGAAGAGCTATACTGATACATATTTGATGCCATAAAACCTTCCGCAATTCTAAGTGATGCAATAGACATTTCTAGTTTCTGAATTTAAGCACTTCCAAATATGCTTTTCAGTAAAAGTAACAAAAATCTTCCTTTTAAAAGAAAGTAAGCAACTCCTGTGAAATTCTGTTTCATCAAACGTCCTGATGAAATGTCTAATTAGTGTAGTCACATCTATTACTTAGGACAGAAACATGCAACACTACTTCTAACTGCTAAGAAGAGGAGAATAAATTGTTTTCAGTATCAGAGGGGCATGACAAGAGAGACAACAGATATCTCTCTTGCTGCGGTGCAAGACTGCTTTGTATCAAACATCAGGAATAACTTTCCTTGTTGTCACAAGGCTTAACACTGGAACAAATTGCATAGAGCACCTTTGAAATCTCCATTTTCAAAGATTTTTAAGAACAGGTTAAACTAAACTCTGACATCTAGGTGCAGCTGATTTTGCAGTAGCCCAACAGTGAGGACTAGATGACATCTTAAGTTTCCTTCCAGCTCTATTTTGTACTGTTCGAGATCTCACTAGAAGCAAACTATCCGGGGCTGTCCATATGCCTTTGCAAAGGCATCATACCACTATTGAGAAAAGAATACAAGCGTCACTGATGTAAAGTTCTTAAATTTGTCCCGTTAATCTCCCATTAAGCAGTGACCGAGACTGACCCTACTTATTTAATGACATCTCCCAGTCGCAGTTGAGCTAGGGATATTTCCTAACTGTACAGATGGGCTTTGTTGCTTACCCAGGCATATTAGAAACTATGGGTTGTTCAGAATTATAGTAGAACTTATGCATGCAAAGACAGGGATCAGATATGAAAATCTTCACTCAGTTTTAGTTTCCAAGCACAAGTCAAAATGGGAAGCCAATAAAAACAATTTCTACTTCATTTCAAAATGGTGGCACCATGAAATAAAAAAAATATGCATAAAAATAAAAAATATTCTTACCATAGATGACATCTTGCCTTTTTATAACTTCTTTCTTTTGCCTTTTTGCATAAGGCTGTTCCACTGCAACACTCCAAGACTCTGCCTCGAACTCAAGAGCATCTGCTTCTATCTCACTTCGGAGGGACACAGAATATGTATCTAGAGCAAAAGCACATTTAATTTCACTAATCAGCAAATTGTGTCCAGCCATATCCCTCATTACCAACAGCAACAACAAGAGTAAAAACATCTGTGTTGTTTTGTTAAGATTGTATAAGAAATCATATAAAGCACAGAAACTCCATACCTTCCAGAAAAATGGAGTCCGATGTTGAAGGTGCAAGTGAGACAACATCATCTGGTGTCTGCTTAAATTTTATAAATCCAGAGTCCCCTTCATCCATGTCTCCTGGAATTAGTCTGAATGGCCAAAGAAATTAGACAGCGAGGGACCAGAACAGAACATTAGCATGTGGTTTTTTTAAGTTGCTTCACTAAAAAAAAAAAAAAAATCCTGCAACAAATATCTTTCCTTAATTATACTGCAATTAAGTTAAAATAAATATATAAAAGCTATCTTTGCACTCCAACTTTAAACAGTCAAATTAGTTGAGTAACTTAATAATAATCATTGAAACGTTAGTTTTATTTAGAAGAGCACAAGCATGCAACTTCTGGTATGACATTTCAAAAGACATCACCTGGTGACAAGCCATATCCAGTTCAGAGTACAAAGAGCACTTTCACTGAGAATTGAGTATAATTGTGGCACATTAAAAGGACATAACTATATAAAAAGTATACAGTTCTGAATTTGTCTATTTTAAACGAGGTATATTGCAATTTAAAACATTGCTGCCTCCTGCGCTAGTCAGGACTAGCAATATCTAGAATAACTCATCTCAGAAAATATTCCTGAATTTCAACAAGTCTGAAGACTAATACACCCATGGGGGAAAAAATACTACTCAGGGCTACTCAAATACTCCCCTATTTTATATAATATTTTGTGGCATAGCACAGTGGAACTAAAGAGAAGGTGCTGATTTAAACCAACAAATAGCTTACTGCTTAGGGGATATTTTATGTTAATTTCAGCATTAGAAGCTGACTGAATCTCTTTTGAGCTTTAAAATAAATGTGGGCTCTTGTTTTAGTACTGTAATTGGTTTTACTTTCACAAAGGGGGGATGCAGCAGAAGCCAGTGGATTAGAAGAGAAGCAGTTTACTTACCCAAATTTATTAACAGCTCCAGCAGTATTCAGTGAAGATTGAGAATTTCCTCTTTGGGCGATAGTCATACCGAGATTCCGTGATAATACTGGGGTGCCATCAGGTCCCAGGAGAAGACTTCGGGGCTGCTCCTTCAGAGAAGCGGCTAGAGAAGCAAAAATTGAATTGGTACTCAGAAAATGAGGTGTACACTGCAGATCGCCTGCTCTCAAACCTCTCTCTGAATGTGGACGGAGAACAGACAGGATCTTGGATGTCAAAAGCTCATTGTCCAAAAAGACATTCTCATTCCATTTTCTTGAAAAGGAACCACAAAAAGACAGCTCAGGATGAGCTGGAATTGTATTGCTTCTGCCGCTGCTTTTTGAATTTGTATTCCCCATGCTCACTACCGGCTGCCCTAAGACTTGGCACAGTAAAGTGGCCCCAGAGATGCACTGTTTTTATACTACCTGTGATCCTTCTAGAAATGTAAAGCTGCCACTTAACTTACTGTATTGGCTAAATCAGCAGGTCTGAAGTGCAGGAAATTGGTCCCTACTGTGCCCATTTAGTGTGGAAATTGCAAAGTATCTTCTCCTTTAGTAAAACACCAGAACCTACACACAATTATTCACACCCTGCCGTATAAGGGCACAGAACATTTCATGGCAAACAAGAAAAATCTGACATCACATAAAAACCACAAGTTCTTTGCAATGCTTATTGCTACATAGTGATTTATATCTGCATGCACACATGCTGACTGTAATAGATACCAGAGCTAAATTTAATTTTAATACTGCAGCTTTTTAATGCTTTTTAAATCTAGACAGACTGTGAACTGGAAGGATATTTAAAACTTTAATCACTATTATACAATACACGGAAGCCTGTAATAGACTTATAAAAATGGATATAATTATTTAGCACTAATGTCTGTAACGAACGATAAGGAACAGGAGATAAAATACATCCTTTTAAAAAAGGAACTCCAGGGAAGTCAGTCACAGATGACGAATCAGCCAGACAATCTTCAAAACTTTGTCACTGATGAGGTCTGCAGCTGCCCCTTCTTCACAGTGCTTTTAAGGACATGCGAGTGGAAGAACTCTCATGGATCCTTGAGCCCAGGTCTCTACTACTGCAGGCAAGCTTTATCTTACACAGACTGATCTTCTCTCCCACTACTGTGTCTGGGAGGTTGTTTCAGGACTATGCTGTTGTTGCAGTTCAAGAGTGTCTTCAGTTTCCAGCCTAGGTTTACTCATGGCCAATTTATAGCTTGTTCTTTTGACAACGCTGGATAAGTGCTTATCCAGTCCAAACAGTTCCTTTTTCTCAGTAGGTACTCCTCAGCATACTTTTGACAATCGTCTCTCCCTCCACTTCTGTTTTGCTCAAACACACACAGCTAAACCAAGATATTCAAGTTTCTTCTCATAAGACAGCTTTTTCTAGATTTCCTAATATCCTGTATTCTACACCTGCTTGTCTTCACATTCTCTTCCTTAAAACACTTGACTAGAATTGTATGCAGGGCTGCAGGTGAGATTTCACCAATGACTTTTATTACAAATGATATCAGTAGATCTTTCACTCACTGGAAATACCTCTCCTAGTACCTCCCCGGACCAGGTTCAAAATTTCATGGCTGCACTGCACAGCTAATTCTCAGTCTACAACAAACTGGATAAACCGATATACATCTCCTCCATCATCTCCAAGTGATGAGCTCCAAGCTGACTGTCCCAAAAAAGGAGACTAAGTGGATATTAACAAGATCTGCAAAGGAGGATTTCTTGAATAGAGGCTTAACAATAAACGCCAACCCGTTTCCATATGGGGAAGCCATCAAGTTCACCTACTTTGCTTCACCAGCCAAGAATACAAAGTTTCGTTTCACAGCCCTGCTTCGTCAAATCTAAAAATCTCCAGAGGCAAAATATGAAGGGGCAATAGCTTACACCTTTCTTAAAATGTATTTCTCTTTTACATTGACACAATACCTTTGGCTTCTTCTGCTTGGCATTGATGTCTGCAGTGTTACATTGTGGGTAAAGACATACAATGGCCATGCTATTAGCTGTTCCTTTAACTTCCTGCTTCTGCTTTTGACTATGGAAAATAAGTACTGCCTGCCTAGCAGAGCCTGCACGAACAAAAAGCCATTTTCTGAGTTCAATTAGCACTGTCTGCACACTGCTGAGAGTCCGTATCGATCGTTTTTAACCTATCACATCAGACCAGACTGTATACCACAGAGCAGTTTCAACGACAAGCCCTATGGCCAACTTTTCCTATTTTCATTATTCCCTATTGTTTCCTATTTTAGTCTCTGCACTTTGCTCTAAGTGGACAAAAACATTCTTGGCAGCACAAATGACCACTTATCTTATTATAACAGTTCTTCCCTTTGTGCTATCTCTCATCAAGGATTGTTTCCTAAAGAAGTAGGAGCTTGAAATGCAAGTCAAATGATACCTAACAAAGATGTATGCAACACTCAGAGTATTACTCAGACATTCTCATCAGTTGTGTTTCTTAACAGCCAGCAAAGCAACCAAACAGACCAACTGCAAGGCAAAAATAATTCTGTTCTAGCTACTGTCAAACATATTAGAGCCTGAGAAATCAGTTCTGTTACCTTGTAACTTCTACCAATTAAAATGCTATTTAAATCTTAGATCTGTGACTGTGATGTCTGTTGTATTTGCAAGTATACAATAATCACTTCAATAAGCTTAGTCCCAAATAATGGAGATCAAAAGCAGGCTGGACAGCGTGCCTGTATCACTTTATATAATCCCTAAAGCAATTTGTTGCATATGCAATAAAATAGTTTTTAAAATTTAACTGACAGTGTAATCAGTGTCAAATCTAACAGTTTTATCATGGAAAAAAATGTCATTCTTCAATATACAACTGAAAAATACCATCTGTTCCTTTGACAGATATTGTTTTCAAATTCTGGAACATGAGTAAAAAGAACGGTCACAATCACATAGTTTGAGAAGAATTCTCTGAGATGGTGAACAAGCCAAAGAATTCAGTAAAACCAGGTAAAAGCAAAAAAGAAAAAGAAACAGCTATTTGGTCTGTTCTAGTACCAAAAAGCTATTTCAAAGGCTATGCTGCAGAACAGCTGTTTTTTCTTCTTATTTTTTCCCCAGATCTCTTTTCCCACTTTGTTTCAACAAAGATTTATGTTCTGGCCATTAATGCTAGCTCGTCTTAGAGATTTCTAGCAACCAGTAGCTACAGGCAAGTTTTAAATAGACAATTATGAAAATCTGATGTAAAACAAAGTTCACAGTTCTAGTCTTTTCAGAGGCCAGAGAATAGACAATCAATGAGAAACTAGCTTATTGATCCCTTTTCACCATGATATTTTGAGGTTACACAGCAAGAAGGTATAAAGGAAAATAAAAAGATAAAAAGATAAAAACACACAGGAGATTGCTAGGAGCCTCTAAGCCATTCCCAATAGAAAAAAAAATGAAGCCATCTTATTAAAAGAGACCTTTTCTATACTTCAATAACACACTGTGTATAGCCTTTAAAACATATTAAAGAAAAAAAATACAATTGAACAGATAAGCCTTGAGCACAGAAATCATTCTTTAGTACAAACCTGGGGAAATGCACTGGGACGAACTTTGTGGAGATCCAGAAGGTCTGTGCTGCAAATCTTTCTGTTACAGGAAAAAATATAATATTCTTACACATACAGACCAAACTTTCAGTCCAAAACGAATCATATTTTCCCTATCATATAACACTAAATGTAAGCAGAGCTTTATACTGAAAATATAAAAGATTTGACACAAGAACAGTTTTGATTTTTTCACCTTCCAGAAGAATGGTATATTGACATTTACATTATACATAAATACTGAAGTATTGATACTCAAGTATCAACCAGACTGCAGGTGAACCGAAAAGGAAAAATTAAAGCCATGATCATAGATAGTCTAGCAAACGAAAGCAAATCTTTTAGGTTGGCAGTCGTCTTCATCTACACTTTGTTGCAGTTTAGCTTACAGCAATACTAATTAAACCAAACTAACCCAGACAATGCTTGGTTTCAAACAAAATTAAGACTATCAATTTAAAATTGCATCTTTACTCATCTGCACAACTTTCTCATTCTTACAGTGCTAGGATATTCCAAATTCATTGACACAAATTTATCTAAAAGGTAGACAAATTAAATAAATAACAGTCTGCAAGAAACGGCTTTTTGGGGGAGTCTCACTTCTGACTTCATTTCCCATATCATTTTGTGCTACCTCTCCTTTTTCTCTTCAGGAATGGTTTGCAAGGGGTGATTCAAGCATGAAAGTTTGGAGTGGAAATTAAAGCTCTGCTGCATTTAGCACAGGAGCAACTGAATGTTTATGTTTGAAAGAAAAATGCACAATGACTTTAAAAGTTTAAAAGTATATACGTATGTGTATATATCTATATATGTATAGATATACCTATATAGGTAGGTAGATAGATTTATAAAACCATGTGTCTACCCTCAAAAAAGTTGCATCCTGAATCACCAGAGGCTGAAAGCACTTACTCTAACCTCTAATTGCCCAGAATTGAGATGTTCTGCTCTATCTCTCTCCCCCTCTTATCCCCCTCAGTACTCCCTAATCTGCTGTCAGTCTCTGAAATCATGAACAGTCACACGTTAACACAAGCTAAAAAACTCTCAAGTCAAAATGGCTATAAGGAGGAAGAAATGATTTTCAAATACAATACCAGAAGGAAAAATGACAGATACACAGTTATCTGAAACCAACCTGTGACCTTACATGCAATCTTAGGCACTCCTGTGACAAAGATAAAAAGTGAACGCCTTGGCAAGATTTAAAGTTTATCACAGTTCAAAAATGAAAGCACTTATTCTGTATTGCTCAGTTTATAAATTATATGCAGCTATTATGATCAAATTCCTCTCTACTCATTCTTTTGTCTGCTTTGAGGTGGCACTGTATTTATAAATCGATCAGCACAAAATTCAAAGCTACCAAATTAAAAATATCCATTTTTAAAACAAGAAATAATTCAATTATGTTCCAAAAACAAGTCACGATGTTTGAGCATTCTAACAGCAAGTCACAGTTCTGACAGACACAAACAACGGTAATTAGTTTTCAGTAAAGCAATAAAACGTTTCATTTTATTTTCCCTTTTTTTCTACATACATTATCATAAATTACTACAAAGACAAATTAATAGCTATTCAACATCTTGTGGGGCAAGATTCCATACTGATTTAAATTAAAACACTCACACTAAACTCAATTTATTATTTCAAGCATCATTATTTATGGAACAAGCTGTAAAACCTACCCTGGGTCTGACGCTGCTGCATTCAGCCAGTAAATTCTTGCAGTTCTTATGGACATTCACTGCACAATCTGAAATGCATAAATAAATAAAATCTTAAACTACTCTTGCCATT